CTAAGAAACACAAACAAACAAAACCCCAAACCCTCACTTATGTGATGTCAATAGCTGTGTACCACTGCACCACTGTCCCTGCACTGTGCCATTGCTCTGGACTGTCAGCACTGCAGTGACCATCATTCCTCACCTGAACTCAAAGTTCAAATACAGAGAGATTTAAGGCAAATTCAGCTGCTGGTTTCAGAACCTCCATCTCTGTGCATCAGGCATGAAATGCCACAGGTTGGTAACCAACATCAATGCTAGTGGTCTATCTGAGAAAACATCATTTTACAAAGAATTTTACCGTATCCTGAGAAACCGTAATTCTGTATTTCTCTACGTCCATGTCCTATACTTGCAGACTAAAATATTTTACAATTTTTTTATTTTTTAATAAAAAAATCAAGGTCTCAAAACTCATGTTAGAGGTGAGCACTGCCAGCCCAAAGGGAAGCCTGTTGGTGTTCCTGCATTGGCAGCACAGCTGCCCCATGACGGTGACATTCCCCTGCTCTGATCAGAACCCACTGCACCAGCAGTGACACCCTGTTAGCACTCAGTGCCCACCCCAAACACAGTTCCAGTGYAAAACCGAGAGGAAAGAGGTTATTTTAAATCACTGAGCTCTCCAAGCAGAGCTGGCAGGCAGTGGCTGCCAGCAGCTTCAGCTCAGCCCAACCCAAACAGCTCCCGAAAGCACCAACACGCAGCCTCATCCCTGCAGAGCGACCTTCCAGACAAACTTTGGGCTAAAGAAATTAAAATATTAGGAAGATTTAGTGGAGCAAAGTCTACTCTTTGCAGCCCTCAGTGCTCTGTGTCACAGAGCAATGCCAGGGGGGTGTGGAGAAACCTGGCCAGGTGAAGGTGTGCAAGGACAGCCAGGAGGAGGAGGAGGAGGAGGAGGAGGAGGAGGAGGTTTCATCACGAGTTTCCCTTCCCTGCCGTGATCCCCGCTGCGTTTCACAGCAGCAGACCATGCCCCTCCATTCCCAGGTTTCTCACACACAGGCTCTGCACATTTTCCTGTCCTGGTGGGATTGGGCTCTGATGGAGGTTCCAGAGCAGCACCCACAGCCCCACCAGGGTGGAACACACAGAATCCCGGCTGGGAGTGCTCCCAGACACAGCCACGCACCTTTAACACACCTCAGTTACAAACTCACAGCTACAACAATAATAACCTCTTGAAAAATGCTCATTTTCACTCCCAGGGCCCGCACAAAGAGCAGGATGATGTTGTGGCTTCAAGACAGACCTGAGCCAGGTACAGGCATAAAACAGATTTTACCCACATTCAACTTYCTATCCGCTTGTCTCTCTTAGATCTTCAAAGATCTGGGGTGGCTAGAAGTCTTTTCACGCTTCTAAAAACAAAACTCCCACATCCTCCTTCTGAAAAACCTTTAAAATAGTTACTCTCTCTTCTGTTCTTCACACACTTGTCCTATCTGTGCCCCTTCCCCCTCCTAATTGTCATTACAGACAATAACCAAAAAAGTTCATTCCTCTGACATCACAACTGCAGTGGGAGGCTGAAGTAAAAAAAAAAAAAGCGAAATATTGATATAATCTAAAAATTAAAAAATCTGTGTAGAAAAAGTCTATCTAGTCAACTATTCAAAGCAGTAAAGACAGAAATAAATTAATTAATGAGTTCTGCCAGCTCCCGAGAATTTTGTGACTGGCAGCAGCCAGATATTTTCCATTTCACGTCCAAGTCTCTTTGCATTTATGCATTACAAACCAAGCCTCAGTTTGCCAGGGTGGAGAGGGACCAGAGAGTTGTGGTGAGGAGCAGAGCCAATGCTGCTCTGAACCCCTGATTTCACTTTTTTGGGCACCTTTGGCAAGCAGGGTGATGCTCAGTGGGAAATTCTCCACTGAATTCCCACAGAAACTCAGAAACCTGGCCCTGGCTTTGGCTCAGAGCTGAACACAACCAACAAAGTTCTGACTTTAACATTCCCATGCAATGTTATGTATATTACCATCASAAATTATCTTAATATTATGCTCAAGCATTTTAAATCTCTGCTAAGAACTGGCACCATTTCTTGCTCTGTGYATAAATTGCATCTATCTCATAAATTAAATACTCATCAGTCAGGTCTCTTGCTTCCCACCTGTCCACTTCTGTTTAAAAATAAACTCCCAAATATTGCACCACACAGTGAGACATAGTTCAGAACAGGACCTTTTCTACAAACTTGCAAACAGTATTACAGAGGATTTTCTATCCTAAAATTCCTGTAATCATAATTTTTCTGAATACCTGAAAAAACCCCGGTGGTACTGGACCTACTGGCATGCCATCTCCTGGGGGAATGTTTCCTAGCACTGGGCTGGGAGCTGCTGCAGCACTCTGAAAAGAACAAAGGGAGAATAAACCTTTGTCATTGCATGGTAGGCATTAAACCCCCCCCAAAAAAACCCAAACCTGACCAAAGTGCAGTAAGTAATGATCTGGATATGTTGTTATGCCATTGTTTCATCTGAAGGTAAATTAAAATTATCAAGCCTTTTGTCTACACGAGCACCTTGATTTGTTGAAATAACAAATGTATGTTGAGGGGAAGGGTGCCAGAGGTTGCACAGGTCAATTAGGCAAATCCTGACTGAATATTTTAAAATGTTTCACCTGAGTGTCTCTACATGCACCAGAGTGAACGCAACTTGCACACTTCCTCTTGTCTTATGCATATGAACAGCCTCACACATGCACAAGGATACACACASAGCAAAAAGAAAGTAATTTATGCATTTTATCAGCAATTTCCAAGCACTTTAAAGATAATTTCAGCCTGTAATATTCTTCCAGAACAACAAGAAGCTTCAAAACAGGGCTCTGTTATAAACAGTGCAAGAAGGGATGCTCATGATTCTGCTGGTAATGCTCAAGATCTTACCAACCCCAAAAATAACCACCATGACAAATTAGAAGAATTCAGGTTACGTTTTGGGAARGGAAAAGAAAAAAGGGATTTCTAAGGAGTGAATCAGAGGATGAAATTAGTTACCTTCRCAAATCCTTCAGCTGGAATAAGCAAGTAGAGAATATTGCTCCTGGCAATTTACAYGCAGGAGATTGTCACAGAAAAGGGAAGCCAAACTGCTTCTGTTGTCATGTGTTGGAACCTCAATTACTTTTAATTTCTAGCGCTCTTCCTGCCTGCAATGCATTTCTGTAGGGCATGCAYGAGGCTGAATCACCTCTAAACGCTCCAAATCTGGAGTGAAAACACCAGAGCCACCAGCAGGTCACACAACACTGAGCTGATACTGAATTATCAATTATCCCCTCATTTATTGGGGGTGATAATTTTATCACAACACTGAGCTGATACCAAATTATCACCCCATTTATTGTGCACCCACACCCCAAAGATGCACATCTGGACATTGCATTTCCAGGTGTTTGGTATGATACCTAGAGAAGGAAAGAATAATGCTGGAAAGATCTGAAAACTGGCACAAAGGAGGGCTGACCTTTTTCAACCAAGCAGAAAAGAAATATTCAGTTAATCACCACAGATTTCTTCAATGGCTTAGAATTAAAGTCCAGAACAACTAGCAGTAACRTATTTAGCATCCAAGCTGAATGTCCTTTGAAACTGAAATATAAAGTCTGCAAAAAAGTGCTGGCTTTCAAAATGAGTGCGAGGCTTTATTCACTAAAACCCCCAYAATAAAGGGTATTATCTATGCAAGGATCAGCACTAGAACACTGCAGCTGACAGAGAAAGCCAGCCAGGTGAGCTGCATGCAGCAAATACTTGGCAATCACAGACACAAATCATGTGGGGAAAGGCCTCCACAGAAGCTGTGGCCAGGAAAGGTGGTGCCCTAGCAGCCACTGCCCCTCCTGACAAATAATTATTTCCATATAATCCCAATTTCCAAGGGAAAACAGAAGAAAAAAGCTGTTGGGTTTGTTGTTGTTTGTGTTTTTTAAAGGAGAATATGAGTCCTTTAAGCATCACTGTCCACTGAGSCTGTGACAGGCGTGGTTTGAGTGAAGCATAGCAGGGACAGGCTCTCTGGATGAAGGATGACAGCAGCAGCATCAACGACAGGGAAAATCCACGATGTCAAAATCTGAGCACCTCCAAATGCCCCAYGGACCCCAGGCTGTGGCCACTGACCACAAGGAGCCACCCACTGAGGGACACCAGTCATGATGGGGTTAATTAAGGCATGGTCATCCCCAGAGCCACCCCACTGGCCTTGGGGTTTGCCCCTCAAGTGTCCTTGGGGTCACCAATAAGGGCACAGCCCCTCGTGGTGTAGGGGACCTGCTGCTCACACCTTGTGCTCTTTCCCCCTTTGAAAACTACTCTTTGAAAATAATTACTTAAACAATAATTATATTTTAAATAATTATTTTAAAAAATAATTACTTGTAAAAAATAAAAATAATTTAAACGGAGACAGAGAAGGAAATACTCTTTTTTTTTTTTTTCAGTTGTAACCAAAACCTCCATTTCTATCCTGCATTATGCAATGCACTCGGGTTTTTTTTTTTTCTGTTTTCATGTTTGTTTGGGATTTTCTTCCCTGATGGGCAATGGAGTTCCAGAAGCAGAAATAAAGCATTTTCAGTGTTTTGGGTATATTACATTTTCTAGCTTGTGCTAAATAATGAATCTTTTAAGAACTTCTGCCAGGTAGATCAATAAACAAACCTGCAACTGCTGCATGGAAATATTCTTATTTATTCTATCCTGATGAATTATTCATTCATTTTCCACAGTCCCATAGCAAACCATAGCCTCCTTTTGCAWGCCTTACAAGTTGTTCATCATTTATACTTCCATTAGTTTGACATTTTAAATATTTGCAATTTGCTTCCCTTGCGTTTCATAAAAAGATGAAATAGGAAAATTTAGATGGTATAAACTCTTTGTAAAGTATCTCATCTCCTTAAGAATGGAAAACTGTATTTGCTTTGATAGTGAAAATAGTGAATTTACACTACTAAATTTATAATAATTTACAATTATTAATTAAAACTGTGTACTTGAGTGAAGCTATTGTGGTCATTCCTTCTCTACCCAAGCTACTCTTGGCAATGCAAAAATAGGTTATTGTAGTAACAAATAAAACTACCTGTGGGTCAGGATGGACTTTTAACAAAGGAATCACAAAGCAAATAAAATTATTTTTAAAAAACCATTCCACCAGTACGTTATCTGACATGCAAAAATCCAGAGATAAACCTGCAAGGCTCATTTTTTGAAGCCATCCCAAGAAGTGGCTGATGGGTGAAGCTTGTAAAGAATTTCACCTGAAACCAAAGAATGCTACAAAGAAATGCAAAAATCCTCACTTGGCTCTGTCTTTCACCAAGATGTTTAATTTCAGGTATTTTGCTTTAGAGTGAGATTTCCTTATTTTTAYCCAAAGTCAGCAGTTTACCACACATTACTAAATTTGCCCCCTCAGGGGACAGTTCCATTTTTTCAGAAGTCTCACTGATGGCAAATGATGAAACGCAGTGGATGATGGATGGGAGGAGCTGGACCCTACAAATATTTTTTTTTTCCCTTTTCTCTACTTTTCTAGGGACAGAGGATAAGAATGCAGTATATTAATTTAGGACATTATGGGAAGCAAAGAATGCAAGTGTAGTTGTTGGGCATTTCTTGGTTTGTTCTTTTTTTTTTTTTTTTTTTTTTTCTGGAAAGACAAACAATGGATGATTACTATTTCCAGTCACATTTACCACATGTTTAATTTCTGGTCATTAATAGCTTTGAAGTGCCAGACATACTGCAGCCAATACCGTAAAAAAATACCAAATTTCCTTTTGTAAATACTTCAACTTGTAACTTTTCAAGTGTTTTTAAGACATCAGCTGGTTACTGTAACAGACCTTCACTATTTTTACCCATACAAAACGCAGAAGTATTAAAGGAACAATTTTGATTAACCACTAGCAACCTTTGCATTTTCTACAYGACACAACATAAAACTACTCATTTCTGAACAATAAAGTAAATAAAATTTTAAAATCCCCAACACTTTGAATAATTCTTTGTGCCTTTTACAAAGTCTTTGAACACTTGGCTGTACACACAGAAGCCAAAACCCCCAGCCTGAGAAGCCTTGGTTTACCCAACACCGACTGGAAGGTCATGCCTAAAAAAGGTGGAAGAGGCAGGTAATTTGAAAGATCTGAATCATGAGACCTAATTAAATCCTGGCGTAGCTCCACTGATATATATTTGTCTAAACTGCTTGATTTCTGTTGAGTAACAGGAAAGCATTCACGTGACAGCACAAGTCTGTAATTGGGGAAGGTCATTCCTTGCACCTTCCCAGCTTTCCTCCAATTCCAGCTCCCTGTGGTTTCATCTTGGACTCTGGCATTTTATTTCTCCTCATTCCATCTTATTTATGGATAATAAAGAATAAATATTAATAATAACAATACAATCAATGCAGATGAAACAAAATCTGATTTAATCCTTTTCTTTGAAACACAGAAAGGGTTGCAGCAGCACACCTGGTCAACGTAGGGAAGAGCAGAGCTGTTGGTGATGATGATGATGATGATGATGATGATGATGATGAAGGTGTTCTCTGGGACTCCACCCATCCTTCTTCCCCAAGCAATAATCCCACCCCCAAGCCAACCTCACTCCAGCAGAGCCTCCTCATATCTGAAGTGGGATCACAGTTCATATCCCAGTGCCCAAAACTACACAGGAATTACATTACGGTGCTGAAAAATGGCTACTGGATCAGAATAGAAATTAWTTTTGAGGAAAGCTTTGTTATCAGTGAATAAAAGGACTTAAAATTCGTCAAAAGATAGAATTTTCATCCCTTCTCTCAGCTGCTGCTTCTTGGATTATTTAGAACAYAACTTCCAGACGAGATTTTCTCCAAATTATAGTTATAATTAGAAGKTATTTAAAAGAAATCTTCATTACTGCCTGGAAGTTAATAAAATCAGTATTAGGCTTATGTATGAATGCAGTGTTCATTTACAAAAAGGTGCACAAACACTTTGTGGTTTAGATGTGCAAATAAACCTATGAAACTATTTAGAATTTCTGCCTGTTCTTATTTTCCTTTTTGTTTCCTTCCACACCAAAACAGAACCGTACTGAAACCGTACTGAATAACTTTCCTCAGTTATTCACGGCGATTCAAAACTGACACTTGAAATAACACTGGGTGTTTAAATTCCAGCTGTGGAATTTAAATTTAAATGAAACCCTGTTTGAAACCCCCAAATTAAACCCACACATGAAGGGGGCTGACCGCTGCTCACGCTGTCCTCCTCCTTCCATTTCTGCCACGCTCCACAGATAATTCATGCTTGGTACAATTGTGCAACTTGGACTAGTATGACAA